TTTTTTTAATAAACGGACACATGTGGGGTTGGTCATATTTCGGGAAGACACGAAGTAGTTTGAGTGGCACGGAGGTAAGCGATATTCCGGAGACCCGTGAAAAGAAAATAACATGATACAAGTTTTGCCGGTCATATAAATATAAGAGCTAGAGTTATTCACACCGATATCTGCATGCGGGATCGTGGAGGTATAAATGAAAAAAAATGATGAATTTACAAGTGCTGTTCTGCGTAAAAATATTTATTGGGCTTGCATATCAGTAGTGAAAAATAGTGAACAAGTTGTTAAGGGTCCTAATGGAGTGCATGAAATGCACACTCACCAAGCTAAAACGCGAAAAAACATAGTGAAGTCTGAGAGCCTTTTAGGAGCTCGCATTTTAGCTCTAATGAGCCAAGTGCTTCTAGGGGTGTTCCGGGACAGAAGCATGAGTAATATCGCTGCAAATGTCTGGTATGTACAAGGGTCCCCATTTTCGCGACTTATAGACGTGCTACGACTGCAGAACCACTTATATGCCCATTTCGGCAAAGTATCTCCTTGCTTCATGAAGGATTTCTTTTAATGGGCATGAAAGTAGATGCTCGATTTCGGTGTCATTAAAAGCTGCAGACATGGAATCTAAAAAATCTTCGGACAAAAGGGACTTACCAGCAAGCATGGAGCTGACTTCAGGGGAATACCATATCGTCAGAATATATCTAAGGGATTCTTGTGGCATTTTTTCGCATTTAAGTGGAAAAAGCGATCTGTGTTCACAATCAGAATCAGAATCAGCAGGCATTGCGGAGGTGCGGTTGACAGGTTTGACATCGGCTTTGACGCCTGTAGGCGAAGCTATTTGCTTGGTTTCTTTAGGAGGGTCTCTCGTTTCCATTAGATGCTGTACATGTGCTGTCGGTAGCTTCTTACCGGTCAGAAAGTCTTGGATCGCTTTTGCAGAAAGCGAATCAAAACAGGCTGGAAGGTGAGAAAACGTGGGGTAAATTGAAGAATAACACGATTAACAGTCAAATAAGGATGGGGACATGACACATACCAGCATGAGGCATAGGATAGGCTTATGCCCTCAGCTTTCTTTTTTAGATGGTAGGACAATGCTCGGCGAACTGTCAGCGGCGTACAGGTGGAGACCTTAGCCATACGCGAATGAATGAAATCGGTTAAATTTACCAAGTGTTTAAAACAAATAAATGTTAAAAACCAAAAAAATCGTTTATGCATATATAATTAACTTAAAGTAAATTTTAGCTTTTGTATGAAGTATA